TGCCCCTTTCCACAGTCATTCAATTCAAACTCTCATTGTAAGCTATCTCGTGCCACAGTAATGCTGGAAAGCATTCACCAAAGCTCAGGGAATCTGGGATGCTGTTGTAAAAATACCTGCAGGTTTTGGCCTACAGAAGTTCCAACGGAAAATTCTTGTTTCCTCTCTTATTTTTCTAGTGAGATTATGTGTTTATATACACAGACATGTACATCATGACTCTGCATAAAAGATGGTGGGAAACCTAACCTAAGTCAGTAGATGAGGAATTTAAGCAGGATCTCAGCTACAGGAAGTGTAGTTGTATGACAATTATTGTGTAATATTTGCCAGAAATGCAGAGGGCAGCATAAAAGGGATGAGAGAGGCAGATTTAATTCCCATTGAAATCAATGACAAAAAACTACTATTCACTCCAATAACCACAGATCCAAGTATAGAGGAAGGAGAGGGGTTTTTCTCCCCTTCTTTAAGTAAACACTGGCATTTTTGGCTTCACTGCAGGAGCTGAGAAGCAGAGGCACAGTCTTTGTTGTTGGTAACAGCTTGACATTTCATAGCATTGGACTAGTCAGAAGGCTTTCGATCTAGAGTTTGAATATTAAGAAATAACTATATATTCAATGTGTAGTGGGGTATTCTCAGATAGCTTAAGGTAATTATTAGCTAGCATTACCAGAGCCACAAACAGTTACTGTGAAATGACCATACGGAGATTATGTAAATGAGTTTCCAAGAGTGAAAATGCAATTATGTATAAAAGTGAATAAAACCTGCTGAATATCGCTGAATGAGTGAACACTTACGCTGATCAAATCTATTTTCATAAACAAAACCAAACTTGCAATAAATTAGAGGGGAAAAGAAACGCCAATGAACCATTTACAAATGGCATTTCACAGTTGACCAAAAAACACTCAATTTGCTTTTGCAAATAGTATGTGGAAAATAAAGGTACACTTGCTTATACAATACCTGCTGCAAAACTGCTGTATTTTTTATTTTATTTTTTTTTAGTGTAGTTCTACAATAAAAGAGTAATTGCATAAGAAAACAGCTTTTTACTGAACTAGTCTCTTTCTACGTATACATACTCTTACTTCATGGGCTGGAATAAAGCATGGAGCAAAGAAGCTGGGGGAGGGTGTTGTGAAGTAAAACCACACTGGTTTACTTTTTTTAGCACCAGAAACGACCTTATTTGATGTGGTATTTGTGTTTTGTTTTCATTTGGTTTTTATTTACCAATAAAATGATTGACTAAAACCCAGTTGTTGACTAGTTTCTACTGCTGATTTGGATAAAAGTGCAGAATTGTTTTCTCTTTGTTCTATGTTTTGGGCTTTCTAGATCTGAGAATATTACTCATCTTTGCACAGGCAGGGCCAGGAATAAAATACCTCTTCTCGCTGATCCCTACTGTTAGAAGAAAGACAAGGAAGAGGAACTTGAGTTTTGGTTTTCTTCCAGGATAAGTCCTCTTGTCTTTCTTTCCTTCCTCTTCAAATAATTACTAGATTGCCAAGCAGGAGAAAATTTTCTCTTTAAATAATAACCAGCCTGTGAGGAGTAGGGCTTGTAGTCAGCGGCTACACTTCCTTGAAAAGAGATTTTTTTACACTGAAGGTTTATGCTGAAAATGTGTATAACTGCTTGCTCTTATCTGAATGTCTGTGTTTAACCTGTCCCGTTTACAGGCCCAATATCAATTCTCTTAGTTACCTAAGAGTAAATCCTACCTTGTTTTTTAATGCCATCCTATAGTCTTTTTTCCATCAGCAGTAAAGAATACCTGTATCAATGAAGCTTTCAGTATACCTTTTTATCCCAGTCTTCAGAATGTGTTTAGCAGCACTTGAGCAGGCTCAATGACTCTACTGAGCTGTAAAAGGAGTAGTGGGCTGGAATTTACTAAGCTGAAGCTAGATAAATGGAATAAAATATGGTACAGTCAGACTTAGCTGTGTGTAAACAGATTGTGGTCACTGGACGTAAAAAAAATGTAGTTAAAATTATTTTTGCTACAGTACTGCAGAAAAGACTGACCATGTTGAAGGGCTAAAAATCTAAAGAACCACTTTTGGAATTGAGCAAAGGAACAGTTTCGCTCCTATAGGATGTAATTCTGTTTCTTGAGTGTACTTGTATGTCCTAAAGATGCTAATAGAAACTTAGCAATTTTAAGACTAAAGAAATCCCTAGGTTATCCAGACTATTAGATCTCCATAAAACACAAGCATATAAAATTTTATCTAATGCCTTTTTTCTGAGCCAAGTAACTTGTGTCAGGCACCACTCAGGAGCCATTTACCTAAACCATCCAAACTTTACTTGCAAGGAAGTGCTATGCAAGTATCACACACTTAGTATAAGTTATCAGAAAAGGGGAGTTCCCACATCTTTATCTCCAGCAACAGATTTTATGTCAGCTTTGGATTAGTCAAGTAGGTCTTTCATGGGGGAAAAAAATCCATTTCTGTTGCAGATAATATAGGCAATGGAGAAATTACCACTTGCTGAGTTAATTTGTTCCAGGAGTTAATCACCCTCAGCGTTAGAAAAACAAAATAAAACTAAAATATTTATTTCTTAGTTTATCTTCAGTTGTTAGCGACTTGCTCAGCTCTTTTGCTAGATGAAACAACTGTTTCATACGTGGTAATTACACATCCAAATCAGTTGTCCTTGATGAACTAAGCAGTTCCTAAATCTGCTGTTTGAGAACAGTTTTCCAGCTTATGATACCGGTTGTCTGGTAGGAAAGTTCAACATGAAAAACTATTTTGTCAACGTCTCTTTTTTGTTATATAAATTTTCCATGGCCAGACTAGAAACTTAACATATTCACTCTTCTTCTCTCATAAGATAACTTATGAATGTTTTCCACAAATAATATTTGGTCTTGATATAGCACAGAAAACAGAAAGGGACTAAGTGAAAAAAAATATTTTGTCTGTAACTAACAAAACAATTAATTGTAATATTTTACCAAGAAAATTTAATTTTTAATATATTTCTTTTTAGTATCATGCGTAAGTTTATACATTGAGCCTACTTACCTTGGTTAACTCCTTTTTGGAAAAATTTCAAATAAAAACTATCACTTTTCACAGACTTGAAAGGAAATGCAAAACCAAACTGTAAGGTATTTTCAGACTTTGTGAGCGTAGAACTGTGGAGAGAATATTCCAATATGAACAGCAAGTAATTAATACAATGATCTTTTGAAAATGCCATATTTTCATTGTTAACACCATGTGATTTCCCCTTATATTTTGTCAATATAATGGCAGATGTGGGCCTAAGGTTTACCTTGACTAGCTACATTAAAGTGAAATTTGCCTCTTCCTTGTTTTCACTAATTTATAAAGTTTATGTTGTTTGATGTAAAATACATCATTTCTCAGCAGTGAAAGACATAGCCTGAATCTTCAGACAGTGTGAAACAATAGCTCTAAGGAAAATGTAAATTGCTTGCATTCACTTCTGTGGTGTTATAATTCTGACACTGAATCCTAAAAGGTAACATTTTAAATGTTTTAACAAAATTTGGTAGCAATGCATTTCTTCAGTCTTCACTAACTGATTTCCTGTTTACTTTTTTCACAACACAATTATCCATGAGAACACTTACAGCCTGAGGAAAGTGAAATACACTTGTCGAAGGGCTTATCATGCTGTCTGCACTAAAGTATGTAATTCAATAGAATTAATTGCCATCAGTGGAGGACTCCAGACTGACTATTAAAATGGTGGTTGTTAGACACAGAGCAACCCCGTTTCCCCCACAAACTGAAGTCAAGGATGTGGTAGAATAGATATGGCCTTGAATCACTAGATACTATCACAAAGTGAAATTAGAAACCTATCTTGCAATATTCCAAATTTGTAATTTATTCCAACATGGCTTATAATTCTCCTATATATGACAAAAGAAACTAAATCATATGATTTACAATGCAAAGCTAACACAGCAGGAATTATATCTGCATACATAATTAACAAACAATGTGCACTGTTTTCATATGTCACAGAGTACAATACTTAATATAGACATAATTTTGGCTTTTTGTGAATATTTAAACATTTTGACCTACTAATCTATTTATTGTGGTGGGTGGTCATGCTAATAAACTCACAGATTCAGACATTTCCATGAAACAGAATGGAAGGTTTACACACACACACACACACACACACACACACACACACACACACACACACAAGTTAAACTGATTTTTGTTTTCAATGTGAATGAAATAAAATGTTTCGTTTATGCACTTAGACCTACCCACATGTATCTTGTCTCTCTTAATTTTTTTGTCTACACTTGTGCCATCCATAATAAGTTTGCTCACCTTGATAGTGCTTTTTGAGTTTCAAGGCCACACTAGATACTATATGTGCCTTGTGGTTGATGACTTGCTAGTTTGAGATCACTGTCTATTTGTATTTCAACGAGTCATTAGGGAATTGAGATCCAGGAGGCTGAAATTCCTGATTTTTTTCCCCAATGAAGAAACAGATTTTCTAGTGAAATCTAAACAGAAACATTGGTATCAGAATTTAATATCAATATTGTGATATCTAGATTGAGATCATAGCTAGAAGGCAGAGAGAGACTACTTCCCACACATATCCTTTCCTGTACAAGTCTATAGTATCTTGCTATTTCTGAAGGCTTATTTAATTCATGTTGGCATTCACCAACATCTGATAAACATGTCACTCCTCACCAGGTGTTCTAACTGAAAACAGAGATGGACGAAATATATTCTGCAGTCTGCTAGTAATAGGGGTCCATTATTCTAGTGAAAATGTAAAAAATTTTGTTTGTAAAAATATTTGTAAAGTAATTTATGAAAATAAAGATGATGAAAGGGTGCCTACATTAATTTACATGATTTTGTACAAAGTTCTTTTTCATAGAGATTAATTTTTGTGTACTGGAAGCTGCATTTGCATGTTACATAATTTTTTCCCTTTGGATTTTTCTTCAGGGCAGTTCCATGATCAGTACCCACCAAAAGGTAAGTATTGTGGCTGTGTTTGCCTAGCAGAAATCAGCCAAGAATTTTAACAATGTACTAAATTCTATTGTCAAAGATATAATCTCTAGAAAACATCTACTTCATCTGACAAACATGATTTCAATTCAGGAAATAGCTCACAATCATTCTATTGGATCTGACATCAGCGGTATCCACACAGCCATTCTGAGCAAACTCCCTGCTTTTAAAGGTCTTCCCATCACTGTTACTGGTCTCACAAATGATGAAGTATGACACTCCATAAACAATGAGCTGGGCCTTTTGTAGGCTGCTTTGCTTTTTTTGGCTTCAAACTGCCACTGAATGTCAAATCAATTTGGCTTTCATTAGAACAGCTTTATATGTGCAAATGTATTTGTGTCTGGTTGCCATTTTTTTCTATTTTTGCCTTCCTTTCCCTTTGCTTTTTTTTTGTCCTTTCTCTTGGACGATGTAATTTTTCTCTAATCAAAACCAGCACCTGTTTCGCTAAAATAGGAGCCTCTGTGTAAAGCTCTTTATCACAATCTGAGTACACTCTAGATGGACTCATTATGAATCAAGTTCCCTCAGAACAAAGAGGAAATGCTGTGCTACACTGACATTATACAACACAGAGCCTGGATAAAGTCAAGAACTGATGTAACCCTGACTTTTAACATCCCAAGAGACTGCTGTCTAGATAATGCAAGGTGTGTAAGCCACTCTCTTTGATAAGTAATAAAACAAATAATAAATCTGACCCTGTGTTTAAGAGCAGCCTAACTCTTACACAATGCTGTATTGGGTTTGGTGGGGTTTTTTGGTATTTGTTTTTTCTTAACCAATTTAAAAGGAACACAGAATTGCAACTTTGAGGATTTCTGGTTTTGTAAACCACAAGCCTGCTTAGACAAGCTAAATGAATAATACCATACAATAAGAGGAATAGAACAAAATAAGGATGACAGAACTCCCAGTTCTAAGTCAGTGAAGATCTGGTCTAACGAAGTACGTTGCAAGTAGTCTGAAATTACTGAAGTTTAAGAAAAATGAAAGGGGGAAAGAAACACTCATATGCTGAAAGGCTACCATAAACTCTGTGTTGTGACACATTTGAAAGAAACACAGGCTCACTTTTCATGCGCCTAAGACCACCTTGCCTCTATGAGACTTGTCTCATGGAAATAGCTGCTGAAGAGTATGGTGCCTGAAATGACCTTGGATTGTGGTGAACAATGGCATAAAATTCCTTTTAGGGAAAGTCAGTGTATATTTCGATTCACTTCATAGAATCACTAAGGTTGGAAAAGAGCTCTAAGATCATCAAGTCCAATCATTAACCGAGCACCATCATGTTCACTACTAAGCCATATCCCCAAGTGCCACATCCGTGTTTTTTTGAACACTTCCAGGGATGGAACATTTTCAGGAGAAATATATGTTTTTGAATAATTACCTAACTATAACCAGGTCAGATGCATGTTTAATCCCAAGTAACAATGCACTTTTAAGACACATGCTGTGTCCTCTTGCTGGTGTTGATCCTTTTGCAAAGAACCAGAAATATTTTTTACTTCTTTAAATGGAAATATTTACATTTTAGGATATAGGGAACCTACAGATAGACAGTAGGAGTGAGACAGAAAAAAAAATCATGCCAACTATATCCCAACTCCCTCTAAATATGAAGAGGGAATTGGTACTTATGAAGGAAGAAGCTTTGTCTGGACATTGCAGAATAGAAATAAGATGAAAGAACCAGCCCTTGCTCACCACTTGCAATAATGGGTTAAAACATCTTCAGAGGACCTCAGGCTGTCCAAGAAGAGTCCTTGCCCAGTTTGTGAGAGGATGAATTCACTCCCGTATGAAGGGACTCTGTCAGATACTCTCAAGGAAAATGCCTATTTTCAGAGCTGAAAAGGTTTGCTTGGGTCAAATACTCACTGATTTTAAATCCAGTGCTAACTCTAACTGAAATTTATTGGTAATCTGCCATCTGTGGTTTTCTTGAGCAGAAATTTTGACTGAAGTCCAGGTTCTAGTAGATATGAGGTCACATTACCAAATCCATCCTCCTACTCAACATCATCCTTCATAGTGTCTTACTATGTCACTGCCTTTGGATTGAGGACCACAGCAAAGTACAGAAAATGCAGATACTTCAGTTGCCAAGTCATTTCTTGGTCTCTCTGTTGAAGCTATCTATAGTGAATGTTTCATTGCTGACATCTATTCTAACCTTAGTATTGTCAAAGCATTTTTTCATGTGTAATAAATTTGCATAAACACTTCACCCCAAATATAATGAAACATAGAAAGAATAAGAAAGACCTAAATTATATTTAAAAAAAATACTAAAAGACTTCTTGATTGATTTGTAGAGGCATAGCAAAATTCCTTCATATAGTGGCCTCATGAATGAGATGATAATATGCAAGTAAAGCATAATGATTGGCATATTAAATGCAAGATCTTTGTCACCATCTGTTTCCTGATTGTGTCAGCAAGTTGGGTTTTTTTTCATGGAAGTGTGAGAATACACCATGGCCTCGAAGTATCAAAATGTCAATTATACATCACATTTTAAAGTTGGAAGCCTAAATCACAATTGTCCCTGAATTCTGCTTGAAACAGTGACAAATTATTACCTATCCTTCACATTTAACCTTACTGTGAAATAGTGTAGTTATTGTACTGGAAACTAAAACAGAGCAGGAACACTAGAGAGGCCAGGTTTACAATTTAGTGATGAAAATTTGAGACAGAAGGAGACAGGAAGAGAACTAAGAATTCAAAACAAAATGAATAGTTGCAGAGCAACCCTATCAAATACTTGTTATTTCAAGCTCAAGTACTTTGAAAACAGTTTTGCATTTCTGGTATTTTCCATTACAAATAGTGCTCACTTATAAGGAAGACAGTATTCCTTTTTCTATGTTTTCACCTATACTGACAGAAAAAAAAAAATTTATCCTGATTAGTACAATGAATCAGTAGAAACTGCAGAAGTAGAAAACCTAAAATGAAGGAAACTTTCTACTAATACAACAGGCCCCAGTTTACACTCTCAATGGTCTTATATACGAGTTTGTGGGAGATAATGTTTTAATGTCTCACAATAGGATGAGGTCTACTAGCACCATTAGCTACCAGTATCAGCAGCCCAGAGGAGAAGGCACACAAAAAAGCTCCTGATTGTGGTTCAGAAATATGAATGCAAGACCCTCCCAGAACTGAAAAGTCCACTAGTGCCTCAAGGTATTATTTCTGCTTGGGGAATAAAACAGAAGAAATGGGTATCATGTAAAGTGATTCTTCACTCACTGAGGACACAGTAAGATCACCAAATAAATGCAATGGCTTTTTGATTTGCTTCTAGACCAATTACTATATCAGGGAAAATGAGATAGCTTCGGGTTTTTTTAAATGTGATAAAGAGCATAATCATGTCCAACCAATCAAACATGAACTAATCTGGAAGAAGGAACTGTAGGGGGTTAAATGAAAAAGTGACCTTCCAAATTTGTCCCTTGTTGGACTTTTGATGAAACATAATTTCTTCTATCTAATAATTTCTGATTAGAGTAGTATTTATACATGATAAGATATACAATCCACTTCTTAAACACACTGCTTATGTGATATTTTCACATGAGTAATAAATTTTTGCTGTAATAAGACAGCAATTTGTAAGATGCAAAATTTATTCCAAATGAGACTGGTTCCAAAATGAGGAAATTTTAAGTAGCATAACTTATATTACAGATTTTGGGTCATTCTCTGTGCCTGTGAAATAGACATGCTAATACTTAACAATTATAAAGTACTTTGACTCTAATTAATAATAACATATTTTTTACTGTTAAGCATGCATGTACATATATGTTTAGTCAAAATATTTCGTAAGATTCAATTTGGGGTTCTGATTTAGGCAGTTCTTCACGTGCAAATGCGTATAGGCATCTCTTCACTAGTAATGTAAACCTTTTTCCTTCTTCAAAATTTCATGTAAATGATCTGTAAAGTTTCAACAGAGCATCATGCTCTGTGGTGGAGCATCATGCTCTATCAGATAGTTACCAGTTTCTCCATTCATGAGCAAATGCTCATCATAAGCTGCTGGAAAGCAGAAAATAATAAAAGTCAGAGTTGAAACATTGCAGCTGTACTTTGATTGGTAAAGTTTGTAGCCTGAATCTATGTGTACATAAGAATGAAGACTACGAGCAGAAAAAACAACTATGTGAGAAAAAAATCTCTTCTGAGAACTTTCATTTGTGTCAGTTGCCAAGGTAACCACTGTATGTCTGTCTTCCAAACAGGTGCCTTTTGGGGGTCTGAGTCCCAGCTCGTGCATCTCACAAGATGTCAACTGAATACAGGTAGCAGAAACACACTATGAAAAATATTTGAGTATTACTAATAGATATGGTTTTATATGTGTGCATAGTGCTGGTGTCACTATCCTCTCCGACGGTGAGGTCTGGATAGGTATGTGATAATTAAATATTTTTGAACTTTGTCTGTGAACATCAGTCTATGTCTCAGATTCTTATAGCAGGGACTGAAGGAAATTGTCCTTAATGTCTCTTTAACATTTTTTTCCTTTCCATAAGTACATCGTACAATTTCTCCCTTCATCCTCTATAAGGTCCATTCTCAAATCACTCTATTCTATTCACTAACAGAGAAATAGCTTGATTTTCTTCTTCTTTTCTGGCTGCCTTTTTTTTTCTTTTTGATTGCTCTGTTAGGCATCCCAAATGAAGCAAAAAATTCTCTCACACCTTTTTAATTAAAATTTTGCTATTTAGGATGTGATCCCAAAACAAGTGAGCTTAAGAGAAGTTTCATTACTGATATCCATGTGGTTTTCTTCTCCCTCACATCAAGAATATGTCAAAGTAATATACTTTGTTTCATGTATTCACCTGGGCTTTCAAAAGAATGATTTGAGAATTTCTGTCATTCTCTACTCAGTAATCTTAGCAATTACAGAACTGTTGTAGTCTGTATATCCTATGTTTTTCTGTATTTCTGTTTGTATTCTATGTAAAAATACATTGTAAAATTAATTATATCTGTGTTAGCCTAGAATCATAGAATGGCCTGTGTTGGAAGGGACCTTAAAGATCATCTAGTTCCAAACCCCCTACCATGGACCAGTGTACCTTTCACTAGATCAGATTACTCAGAGCTCCATCTAGTCAGGCCATGAACACTTCCAGGGATGGGGCATCCACAACTTCTCTGGACAACCTGTTCCAGTGCCTCGCAACTCTCACTGTAAATAATTTGTTCCTAATATCTAATCCAAATCTACTCTTATTCAGTTTGAATCCATTCCCACTTGTCCTGTCACTACATGCCCTTGTACATAGTCTCTCCATCTTTCTTGTGGGCTCCCTTCAGGTACTGGAAGGCTGCAATCAGGTCACCCTGAAGCCTTCTCTTTTCCAGACTGAACAAACCCAATTCTCTCAGCCTTTTCTTGTAGGATAAATGCTCCACCCCTCTAATCATCTTCATGGCCCTCCTCTAGACCCACTCCAACAGGTCAATGTCCTTCCTGTGTTGGGGTCCCAGAACTGGATGCAGTACTCCGGATGGGGTCTCATCAGAGAAGAGTAGAGGGGAACAGTCCCCTCCCTCAACCTGCTGGCCATGCTGCTTTTGATGCAGTCCAGGATACAATTGGCTTTCTGGGCTGCAAGTGCACGTTGCCAGTTCATGTCCAGCCTCTCGTCCACCTGCATCCCCAAGTCCTTCTCAGCAGGGCTGCTCTCGATCTGTTCATCCCCCAGCCTGTTGCTCCAACCCAGGTGCAGCACCTGTCACTTGGTCTTGCTGAACTTCATGAGGTTCCATGGGCCCATTTCTCCAGCTTTTCCAGGTCCTTCTGGATGGCATCACATCTTTTAGGTGTGTCAACTGCACCACTCATCTTTGCAGGTGTCACCTGTAAACTTGCTGAAGGTGCACTCAGTCCCATTGTCTATGTCATTAACGGGTGTAATGTTTCCCTTTTGTTCTTATTAAACCTCATGAGATTCCCATGGCCCATTTCTCAAGCTTGTCCAGGTCCCTCTGGATGGCATCACGTCCTTCAGGTGTGGCAACTGCACCACTCAGCTTGGTGTCATCTGCAAATTTGCTGAGGGTACCCTCAATCATTTCATCTATGTCATTAATGAAGACATTAAATAACACTGGTCCCAATTTAGACCCCTGAGGGATACCACTTGTCACTGATGTTCACTGGGACTGTGAGCAATTGACCGCTGCCCTCTGGATGTGACCATCCAACCACTTTCTTATCCATCTAATGGTCCACTTATCTAATCCATGCCTCTCCAATTTAGAGAGAAGGATGTTGTGGGGAACTGTGTCAAAGGCTTTACCGAAGTCCAGAATAAATATACTATAAAATATATCTATTTGTTCAAAGAGATAACAAAGACATTTGCTTAAGTTTTTTATTGAAAATTAATAATTTCACTAAGTTTTCCTTTAGCATTTAAAAGGTAAAATTAGGTGGTAAACTGTTTCAGAACCACAAATTCAATGTTGTCTTGACAGTGCTTGTACTTGCAAAACTTTACTCAGAAGGGTAGTCATGAGTTCAAAGTGAAGTCAGTTGAATTATCAATCTGAGTAAGACTAATCAGGTGTTTAAAGTGTTTAACCAGAATTTCAAAATAGAAGCTATGTTTCTTTTGGCTGTAAATCTGTAACCTCATGCCAGTCCTTACTGAGGAAAAAAATCATAGTATTTAGAGGTGATTGGTAGTACAAAAAGCTATCTGTGCTTTCATCATGTCAGTTTTAAAATGAGTTGGATTCAGAAGTATTCCCAGTTCCTTTGTGTTCATTTCTGCAGACACTGAGGCAATCAAACTTCACTGGCATTAAGGTGTGCGCTGAAACTAAAAATAAAATTTGGAGAAGTATTTGTATAATATGTTAAGTTTTATTCTATCAGAGTATTTATCGCTGAAACAATACCTTGTCACTTAGTAAACCAACAGCAATTAGACAGCAAAATTCAATTCCTTCACATGGAGTAACAAAATGTCCAAGTGAATGATTTGGGGTCAATTAGCAGCATTGCAAAAAAAAAAAATGGCATAGTAAACTGATAGTTTCTAATTGGTCCTAATGCTGGAATTTTTGTTTAACTTCCATGACTTTTAATCAGGTTTATAATGTCCCTCTTCCTGGACTAAAAACAGAATAACTTACTGGTTAGAAATTATTTACAAGGATAAGTAAAATAATCAGAATAACTGATTAAAGAAGCATCATGACAAAGACAAACATGTAAGCCTAAAATAAAGTTTACATAGAGGTTGCAAAATCCAAATTAGAAATATACAACTTGGTTTATATAACTGAACAACTATTTTACACTAACTACCTCATTATTGTGCAGAAGCAGTTAAAATAATCAGATCAATATTATGGTCTTCGCATGAAACTACTGAATCACAGCAGGAAACCTGTGCTATTCTGAAAACTGAGATCTCATAAAGACCGCTGTACAGATCACTTTGAGGGTAAAACAATGATGGAAGTACAGCATAACCTACCAGGAAATAAAGATCACATGTAACACACAGAAACCATATACATAGATTATATTTTATTTAAAACAATAATAAAATATAATGTAGGTAAGGAAAGCTGGAGTCTTTTATTTTGGTATGTCTTTTTAAAAGAATAGTTAGTTTTCAAGGACTAGCAGAAATACTTAATGAAAAGTGTACTAAAAGCTCTGAGACCACGGTTAAAACTAGGTTTAGGTTAGGGAGAAAAAGAAAGCTGGTGACCTTGGAAAGGGCAAAGCAAAATGTGGGCTGCTATGAGAAATCTTCCCAATTCAGACTTTCCTCTGGGGTTTCAGTACATCCTGTGGCAGAATTTTCCTTCAAGGCTTAGGGTCAGTTAGGAGAACAATCCTCTCTCCTCTTGGGAGAATAGCTGTGACAGGTGAGACCTGTTTGAGAAGCCGCAACTGACCTTGCAATTCTCCAAGGAAGAGCTGGAAGAAACTGCAGGTGGGGTTCCCATCTCCCCTGCTGGCCGCTGCATTAAGTAGAGGTTCTCACATTTGGCTTGTGCATGGACTGCATTGAGCTACTCTGTAGCCATGCTGGGATTGTGCCCTGTTGATCTGGACTCTGACCCTAACCCATGGGCTGAATTCCTGACAGGACTAAGCCCTCGTGTGGGTGAGGCCATGGCTTTTGCCTGCCATGCTGTGATGCTTGTCTTCAAAATTCTCCTTTCTCTGCTAAGGAGCAACTGCCTTTATTGTTCCCTGAGAGAGATACAAGACCCATAGGAAGAGCAGTGCTGCAAAAAGATTGAGGAAGTAAAGTGGGGTCTTCTGTGAGAATTCTCCCAATTGCATCTTTTTCACAAGAATCTTCTGCATGTTTCACTACAGAAGTGTCCACCTACACTTATGGTGAGGGCTATAGGAGGAGCAAAACATGTGAAACCCATGAAAAGAGTGGAATTGCAAAGAGTTGGCCAAGCCATAGCAGCACCATGGGCTAATACAGGCACTCTCTCCCACCTATTTCCAACAATGGCTTCAGCATGTCTTGTGACACAAATCTCTGCCCAGGCTTAGCACTAGGACTAGATTTATGGGCAGAGAGTCAGATATATTTTTTAGACAAGTGTTTTAAGTCTTAACTGCCTTAAAACCAGTTAGTGGCTGCTTCCCACATTTCTTAAAATTGTCAGAATACATCGAAGTGAGGTTTTCAGTTTAAGTTAATAGAAAGCGTTCCTGAACGCTTCAGTGATGTGAGAGCTTTGAATTTGAATTAACTTTTAAATGTTCTATATGAGTTAGAAAAATCCTCTCAAGGATCGTTTTTATAATAATATTTATAATACTTTTGTAATAGTCTAGATTTATATAATATTTACGATACTTATATATTGATAGTTGTTGTACAAGATGAACAATAGTTTAGCAGAGATCTAGTTAACAAAGAATAACTATAGTCCGTGTTTCTGTTCCTGCAGAATGTGAAGATTGCCATTCATGGCTTGGAAAAAAATTCTCATAGCGGTCCATATTTATGCTATTGTACAGAATGCTTATAATTTACCATTGAATATAGTTGTGGGATTAAATCAACATATTTGATTGAGAATTACATGAATGTATTGGAAGGAAGGTATAAATTGGTCTGCTGAGAGTGAGACAAAACCCCAAACTTATTGTGCATCCAAGAACATCGGAGGTCTTGGAAACAGAAAAATACAGCGTAATGTTCTCCCTGTGATTAAAATATTTTCAGAAGAAAGATACTGCTGAGCTAGATAGGCTTATATATACTACTGCAAAAAAAAAAAAAAAAAAAAAAAAAAAAAAAAAAAAAAAAAAAAAAAAAAAAAAAAAAAAAAAAAAAAAAAAAAGACCGACGTCTGATACAACATCGCGACACTATAATTTTGCTAAACCCATTCAATAGTAATTTCAAGACTGAATAGAGAATCACAGAATCAGCTAGGCTGGAAAAGAGCTCTGAGATCATCAAGTTCAACCTATGACCAAACACCACCTTGTTAACTAGACCATCCAGTCTTTTCTTAAATGCCTCCAGGGAATGGTGACTCCCTCCCCTCACCGGGCAGCCCATTCCAATGCCCAATCCCTCTGTCTGTGAAGAACTTCTTCCTAATGTCTAACCTAAACCTCCCCTGGCACAGCTTAAGCCCTCTTCTCCTACAGCTGGTTGCCTGGGAGAAGAGACCAACTCCCACCTGGCTACAACCTCCTTTCAGGTAGTTGTAGAGAGTGATGACGTCTCCCCTGAGCCTCCTCTTCTCCAGGCTAAACAACCCCAGCTCCCTCAGCTGCTCCTCATAGGACTTCTGCTCCAGTCCTTTCACCAGCCTCATTGCACTTTTCTGGAGCTGCACCAGCACCTCAATATCCTTCCTAAAAGAACTGGACACAGTACTTGAGGTGTGGCCTCACCAGCCCTGAGTACAGGGGAAGAATCACTTCCCTGGTCCTGCTGACCACACTATTCCTGATCCAGGCCAGGATGCCATTGGCCTTCTTGTCGCCTGGGCACACTGCTGGCTCATGTTCAGATGGCTCATGTTCAGCCTGCCCTGGTCTTCTTCTTTTGCTGTGTTTATTTGTTCAGTTTAATTTGGTTTGTCTGGTTAGAATTTTTAGAATGGCAATGGTATGAGGTCTAAACTGAATGTAGGCATGTGGCAAGAAACCTTGAAGGATATTTCAACAATCCGTAGTGTATATCATTGTTTGTTTTAATTTGAACTTAATTAATGTGAGATCTCAGGCTCTTTAGAGACAATGAGTGTCATCAATAAATGCTAATATAAATCAATAAAAAGGGGGAGGTTAAATGATTTATGTTGGAACTGAGCCACCATGTAATAACTGATGCTCATTACAGCCTCAGCAATGAATGGGAAATCAAAATGTTAAATAGTGCAAACAAGGAGACCATCCTATTTTGCAGGAAGTTTAAGATACCCTATTCATAATCCATTTTTATTCTATTAAAGAGTAGGTTAAATCTTGCATTTAAATAGACATCTTGCCTAAGAAAGGGCTGCTGGAGTTTGCCCAATGTTTTCTTTCTTTGAGTTGTTGCCAGCTTTGCCTGAAAAATAACAAATGTAACTGCCAAAAGCTACATACTATAATATTACTGTCAGAAGAGTATTATAGGTACAAGTTTTAGGTATTCATTGCTTTTCATATCTATAGTACTGTTGACTATATTATTAATATTTCATTTTCGTTACCATATATTAGTAAAATAGGACTTCAGAATTGTTTTGCATATCTCTCTTCAAGAATACAAACAATTAGTTCTACTTTTGAGCATTGATTGGCACCTTATGAAAGCATCAAAAGAGTCTCTGTATGTAGGGCTGCAATGACAACTGAAAGCAGGTCTAACATTTCTCTATTAGAGATTTTATTTATTCTTCTAATTTCTCCTAATTTTTTTTATTTTCCATATGTCAGGACACATTTTCAGATGAAAATTGCACTTTTCCTATAATTTTCTTAATAACAGTGTTTTAATTCATATTGTAGAGAAAAGATTTTAAGTATTCTTTCTCCATACACATTGTTTTAGCTAAAAAAAAAAAAAAGAAAAGATGGTGAGAATAAAAATAGTCTTCCCTAATTTGACTCTCAGAAAGTCTTAGAGACACCCATTCTTCACTAACATTTTGAGGAGAGACCAGTTTTGAAGCTTTTTCTGGGTAACTGAGAGAAATGTCATCAAGAGTAAACTACTGTACTGGTGGAACTTGACTGAAAATGTTGTCCTAATGTCCCTGTGTCAGAAGACTGGCAGGTAAATAATTTCTTTCTTCCAGGTACTATTTGTGTGCACTAAAATGAAAGATGCAAGCCTATATGAAATCTGGATTTGCATCAATTTTGGCTGTTTTGCATTCCATAAGGCATTGTCTTGGAGATTTGTGAGCATGGGACTGAGGAGGACATGAACTATATCTGTGGTAGAACTATAACTTTATAGATGGGAGTATTTTACATCGTTGCCCAGTATTCTTACCAAATTTAACCCTTTTGAGTAAGAAAAAAAATAATAATCAGAGACTATTTCAGAAGAAAGAGTTAACCAGAGATTCATAGAAAAGAAGACATTTAGGTTAGTTTTTGCCTCCTTCCTACCTACCAGCCTGGCTATTTCCTGAGGAAGTTCCTAGGGAGTCAGGCAAGTGCCATTTTGATGATCCAGAAGAGCTGAGGTTTCAAGATTGTGCAAACCAGCGGAATGATTAATAGTGCATGCCATTAAATTGAGGCAGAGATCATGAAAAATTACCAAGATCAATACTCAATTCTGAGAGAGGGTTGAAGATACTAACAGGTTCCCCAGGGAAGTGGTTGCAACACCAAGACTGCCAGAGTTCAAGAAGCATTTGGACAACACTCTCAGGCACATGGTATGATTCTTGTGGCTTTCCTATGCATGGCTGGGAACTGGACTTTGATGATCCTTGTGGGTCCCTTCCAACTCCAAATATTGTATGATTCTATATTCTTTCAATTTATGAAAGTTATTTGAGTAACTTTTTGATAAAATACTCTATTATTAGAAATTTCTCAATATCTTGCTGCCAGATACCTTGTCCCAGGTTTACATTCACATGATAATTACAATGTTTCCTTTTTAATATTTAATTTTTGCAGCAGTATACTAGAGGTTACAATAGTATTATTCTATTTATACCAACTTTTTGTGTTTGAGCACTGTTTCAATCCATTCTGTAGGTGAAACAAATCCGCTTTTTAACCTTTTAATCAGGTCAAATTTTCTAAGTTGTAGGGTTTTATAACAAGTTATTTTTGCTCACACAATTTGGAGTTCTTTATGTTCTTCTCCAGGGAATTTTCCTCCATGATCAGTGCTTGGACTTATTTTGATATCCTTTTAGGAAAAGAATACTCTTTATTTAGATGTGACTGGAACTAACTCTTGACTCAGCTGAAGAAAGCTTTCCAAGGAAGATAACCTCAATGCTGCAAATTCAGTCCTACTTGTCTGTAGGTGGACATGGAAGCTGCTTGCCAGCTATGTTGCATTTGTTCAGTGATGTCTAGTGAGGGTTCCAGAAGTTTATCATCATGTCTGTAGAACTTTTATCAATTTCTGTGATTCTTCTGTTAATATTGACTGCCTTGTTCAAGGGTGGGAGACTTTCAATTATGTTGATAGGTGCTAATACTGCGTTTTGAGCTGTACTGGAGTCATCCCTTGAAACAATAATGTTGAAGACATACAAAGGGCCAGACAACTCTTTTCATTAGCCTGAGACTAATAGTTCTAGTCTAAAGTTGAATTTGAAGCCATAAGGTCTGTGCAAACCTCCCACTCTCCCACCTATCACTCTCCAAGCTGTCGGCATAGTTCCTGATCTTGAGGAGTATGTTGCTTTATACAAATGACATGACCTTTCACTTGAAGGAGTTTAAGTAACAGACTTCTGTCCTCCTTGTAGCAACACATTTTTGCCCATTTTAGCTTTTATTTTCCAGCATTCTTTCTTTGCATGCATGAAAAGATAATTGTTTGGATATGTGAATTGATGATTTATTGTCAGGACCATTATAGTAGTGTTAAAAACAAATAACTCTGTTCTCTTAAATGTGGTATCTGAGTGCCTCAGTGTTCTGTTCAAAGCAGAGTCTTTGTTCATATGAAAAAAAGAGCCCCTTTACATTATTTACTTTAGTTTAGCTTAGTGTGTTTCTAATTGTCATGAGTATGTCAGAAACGCAAGATTAAACATTATATTTTACTTGCCAAAACAAGAAATAAAAGAATGAATGAGAAATATTCTAGGAGTTAAAAATATTTGACTGTTTGAATGTAGCCTTTTTAAGCAAAAAAAAGGACAAAAAAAATATGTGGAAGCATGAAGGGAAGCCTGCTCTCCTTCAGCAGAAAATGACACTATTTTTATTTCTGGCAAACTAATTGTAAACTCATGTTATGTTATCTAACCTCCTTTTTTTCTCTCGATCTGTATGGGATGTTTTCCACAGAATCATAGAATATCCTGAGTTGGAGGGGGCCCGCAAAGATCATTGAGGTCTGCTTCCTGGCCCTGCACAGAACAAACCCAAGAATCACACCATGTGCCATGTTCCAGGTATTAGTCAATGATTTTCAAAGGGTCTTGTTTTCCTGCTATTATGAATGACTTTTGAAGAAACACCTGGAAATGCTAAAATTGTGTGGTGACAGCAAAGTGCTGGAATAAAAGAGGGAAGAAGTTGGATATCCTGACAGTTCTGCAGTTCACCAAGTCTGTTATTTCTGTTCTGTCTTTATAATGGCCATAAAAGATGAGCTGGGAGTATGATGTCAACGCATCCACATTCAATAATTGATATGATGAATAATCTCAACCTCCTGACACTTTCTGTATCTTTTCACATCTCAGGAAACTTCATTCATCAACCACATTTGAAATGTTTAAGTAATCTTAGTGATGTATGGAGCACTGAAACTCCCTTGTTAGAAATCTATGCTACTAACATGCTATCAAATTAAAAAGCCACTGAGCTCTTGTGCATAAAATTATCATAAATTATCTCTGAAGGTTCATTGCTGTTTGGAATGTTTAATTGCTCACTCAGCTGAACTTCAGCAGCTCAAGATCATTAATCAATTTGTCAGAAGGTTTCTCATAATGTCATCTTTTACACTGCAGTTATATGCGTGGAAAACTCATGTGCAAGACAGTTTTATGCAGCAAGTTGAAAGTAGCCATGCATACCTTTCACAATATTAATTTCATATATTTGAGAGTATTTTTTAGATGTTGATTTGTCACAGAGGATGGGAAAATTGTAATTACCACAGTCTAATTTATCTAAATTGAAAACTAGATTCTCATAAACATATTTATAAGGAAGAATGGAGACAGATAATAAGAATGGAAGTTTTGAAGCATTTAATCCTGGCCTAGTGTTGATTGTTCTCACTAAAGTAAATATTTCTGTTAAGTTTAGTAACAGTAAAGATGCTTCAAAAATGCCATACCTTAAATGTACATTAACAGCTTCTTCAACCATTTGTCTTACCAAAAAATGAACCTTTGCTTTTAAGTAATTTTTCAGGAGAGAATTTGGCTTTGATGACATACTAAAACAATACATTTTGTCTTTGAAATATGTTTCAATATTTATTTTGAAAATATCTTTTCTTACTTTTAAGAGTTATGAATTCATCCTTTTTATACAGTTTTCTTTCCATTCTTTTGTTTTACAAGTGCAACTGAGGGTGAGACCTTATGAGAGGGGTGATGATAATGTTTCTATTTATAATTTTTTTATCTATCAGTTTTTTAGGTGTTTTTTGGTGCAGCAACATAGAAATAAAGGATTATGCATTTCCTGCTCTGGAGAATTTAAAAATGTTTTAGAGTAATATATTTAAGGATTTTTTAAGCCACTCCATGTATTTTCTTAAGCTGAAAAATGTTTAAAATATAAAGACTGGAAACATTATTATGGACCTTATCCATTTTCTTTTACTCTGTGAATGATCATCATATTATTTCCTATGTGTGTGGAAAGATAGAGAGTGAATGCAAACATATAGTCAATAAGTTTCAAATATCTATTGTATATTAAGCATTTATGCATCATATCACACCATGGTATTTCTACAAAAAAACTGAAAATGAAAGAAAACATCTGTATTTTTTCTTTGTCAGACTTCTTTCAGGCATCAGAAATATGCTGGAAATGGCCATTAGTATTTTTTTTCAACATGTATTTTCACTGTAATCCTTTAAAGCCTTTCTTAAAACAAATTATGTCCTTTAGCAGATGATAAAATGGGAAACAAAATACTAGTAATAAATACATTACATTTCTATACTTTCTGACATCTGGAGTTATCAAAGCACATCACTACAAATGCAAAACAGCTCCTTGGTACAATTTCATCACCATTACCCATCTCCATTACAACACAACTTCTAGCACCAAGAAATAAAGATTGTCTTTATCTTTGACATTGATTCAAACCCAAAATGATATGCCAAAGATTGAGTATAAAATCTTCCTAAGAAATAGGAAGAGAAGCCAGATCTTCAGATCCCCAATATCTTAATGTATGAATCCTTCCTTCATCACCCTACTCAACAGATGCACAACTGAGCTGTGATTAGATAGATTATAGACTCTCCAGTCTATAATCCTTTTTGTTATTTGCACTATACAAAACTGCCATAGCACATATTAACACTAGGAAAATATAGGAATAGGAAATGAAGAGAGGAAAATATTTAATGCACCATGTATGTAGCAGATCACAACAATTCCTAGAAATATTCCATTCTGTAAGGTCTGTCTTGTTCTTCCTTTATTCAACATCGATTTATCCATTCATTGGTTGCTGCAAATCAGCTTGAATGTGAACGTACTAATATGCATGATCTCACACCTGCACATGCTTGCCTCAAGTGTAAACAAACCCATCAGTAAGAATCAAGACTGTTGCTACTGTTTCAATTAAAAAACCTGAGGATTAGACATCAGTTTTGTATATTACAAAGAAGGTTATGCATCTCTGGCCATATACAGAGAAAATGAAAGTGGTGCTGTAATTAGTTCATCAATAAATCAATGGAAGTCAATGATAACCAACATAGTTTGGATGTCAAGAATCCAGAAGGATTTGTGTACAATAAAATAAAGATCAAGAAACAAAATAAATTAGAGTCCTTAGCTTTACTTATTTTTATAATATTTCTGTTAGTTTCTTCTCCTTTCAGAACTTCACCTCTCTTCTCATTTAAGCATGAAAGCTAGAGTAACTTCTCTCGTCATTCAACTATTTAGAACAACTCCCTGGTGACCAAATTTCTTCATAATTTATATCAACTTTGAACCTGAACTAGAAATTCTAGTGATGTAGATGTCAGTCCTTCCACGCCCAGAGACAAGGGTGTTACAAGTAAACATTGTTAGTGCAGATTTTGTCTTTCCATGTACCAGAGCACCTAAAGTAACACACTAAGGCATGCCTGCATATCAGAAAGTGCGTTAGCCTTTGATGTATATCTTCCTCAGTATGACTCATTAATTTAATAGCTCATAGCACTCCATTATGTTAGTTCAACTATGACATGTACTGTAGTGTATGCATGAAAGGTTCTTATGAAATGTTTACTTGAAAAAAATGCTATATTTAAACATAAAAAGAATTAGAAATAGCATTCTGTTATCTTTTAACAGGTAAAAATATTATTGGTCCTGAATTTGTACACAGTTTTAGACATAAAAGAGATTCTTTTAATAAGACATTATTTTATTCTATTTTATTCTATTTATTTATTCTAGAAACTGAAATACTGATAACCATATTTTAACTTAGGATATTTATTTGTTTCACTATCCATTTGAGTCACTTTCTGTTATTATGGATTTGTCCCCATGTATGCCAACAAGTAATGACTTTACTTGAGGAAGAATAAACAGTGATAAAAATCAGTTCCAAGGAACTCAGTTCTCAGTGTCTTTTGAAACACTGTGCATCAATGCACTCTCAGAAGTAATTATCTATGCAGTTGATTTCTAAAGCTTGAACTTGCATGGTCCCAGTAACCATTCCAGGCCCTCTTGTAAACTCATTTTCCAGCAGTTGTTATTTTAGATTCTTATATTTGATGGAGTTAGCAAAAATAACCTGTGCCTCCTATCATGCTGAAAGATAAGTGACTTGATATATTAGTGAGTAGAACTCTCAGATGAACAAATCATACTGATTTTTTTTTTCTACCAAGAACAACTGTCCTGGTTCTGGTTGGAACAGGGTTACTTTTTGCAGTAGCCAGGAAGGGACATGGCTGGGTCCCAGAGGTTATTCTATACCACCTCACATCATTGCCAGGGGCAGGGGGAAGGGAGTTTATTCCAAGGAGAAGGGGTTCCTTCCAGTTGAGTAAGTGTGGTGCTGGTTCCAAGCCACAGGAAGCGGTTGGGTAACACCAGTTCCAAGCTGGAGGGAGTGTTAAAGACATGGAAAAAGAAACAAACTGTAAGACTAAGTTACTTAAACACAGTTCATTGTAAGGATGAATTAACATATTTTGAATACAAGGGACCAGATTCATTCAAATCTCCCTGGATGACACAAATCATCCACAAAAGTACACAACCCAAACATTGCTTCTTTTTCTTGGAGAAACAGGCAGCTCTTTTGTTCCTTTTAGCATGGTTTTAGCATAGGAAATCGTTTTTAGAATAGGAAATGCTTTTAGCAGGTTAAAATTGTCATTCCTTCATCAGATGTCCTTGTGAGGGAGTGTAGGTGAAAGAATTCTTTGCATATAGAAGACTCTTACTGGGTAATAAATCTCATGCCTGAAAGCGTGGGTCTTCTGAAGAATCCCCCTAGTGATTCACAAACTTCTTCATAAAGACGGTGATGTGAAGGGTGAGACGACATAGGCAGCTTTATTTGTGGCTGCAAATAACACTAAGCCTAAAAACATTACAAACAACCATGTTCATTTACATGCTTAAAAACACAGGATTTATCTTTGTGGTTTCTGTAATGGCAGTACAGGCTACCTACACTTGTCTTGGCAGCAGCTAGGATAGTGGTCAGTCACGAATCATTAGCATTAGGCTTCTTAAGCAGTTGGAGACAATTTCCTTCAAGAGTCTATGTTTCTTATGAATAAGATGTCCCAACAGCCAGCAATGAAGTGACAGATGGAAGTGCAGAGCTTCTCTACACTGATCAGGTTCCACTATGTTTATACAATCAAATTAACTGGAACAACATAGATGGATAATTGATTGTGTAATCTTCATGGCTTCTGCCTCTTCTACATATCTGTAATAGTTCAAACAAAGGTGGTCCATGTGAACCTTTATTATATTCTTTGAGATCCCAACCCGTCTCTTCTCACTGCTAGAAAGAACAAGTAAGCAACAGTGATCTTTGTGCAAACCTAATTCTTATAAGGAAGCAACCAGTTGAAAGTCATGCCTTAAAGCTGATGGTAGCAGTTGAGATGGAATGAACATGCTGGTTGAACTACATATTTCGATTCCAGCTTC